CCCTCAGCCTGGACGTCGGGAGGCGGGCAGCCGGGGGTCAGCGAGCGGGCCGCGCGGTGACCGGTCCGGCGCGGCCTCTGCCCAGGGTCCCATGCAGTCTGTGCCAGGACCTGCAACTCAGCCCCTGTAGCGTTAGTCTCTGAGAATATCAGCCAAAGAACTGTAGAAAGAGGAACTTCCTGCACGGCTATTTATGGTTCCGGGGAAAATGGAAAGGGTGCAATTTGGGAAGAGAGAAGCGGTCGGGGATGGGCGTGCAAGCCCCAGTGCAGCTACCAGTGAGTGTTAACTGGCTGTTAGCATGATAGGCGCTGCCTGGCCGTCGTGAAATAGATTTTGGTTGCGAATTAAGATGAAACAGTGTGCATCAAAAAAAATCAGCCCATTTGATGTGGTATATATATTTGATAACCATGTGGCTCGTTTTTCCTGTTGACCCCTAAGTACCTGACTCCTAAGGGAGGAGAAACCTATCCGTGCTGTGGAGTGGGGCAAGGAAGGCCCGGGGGACGTGGCAGCTCCAAAAGCAAGTCAGGAGCCCAGCTTGAGTCTATTTTGGACAAGTAGCCTGCTTCCTGGGCCGCAGGTTTCTGTTCTGTACAACTTGGGGAACTGGACCAGAAGGGGAGTCAGAAACCCAAAGGCCTCAAGTGGCCTGGCAGGTGATGTAAACACGTAAAGTGGGCCGAACAGAGCAATGGGGAATGGTGAGGCCTGGGGATACGAAGAATGCATACCCTGCTGTAAGCACGAAGAAAATTAAAGCTATTCTTCCAAACCAAAGTGTCTTTGGTCCCTCACCCTGGGAATCTCAGGGTGAGGTGTCCCCTAAGTCTGCAGTGACACGATGACCTGTCTGAGGTAATCAGGTCATATCACTCCTGCATAACATGTCACAATGGCTTTCTTTTAGGCTCAGGATACAGTCTTGGCCTCTGTCCTACGGATCCCACCCGGCTCTCTATTTTAACCACAGGCGGGTCAAACAGACTTTCTGTGTCATGTTTTTTTTTTTTTTCAGTTTTGTTTTGTCTTAGGGGGGATTAAGTTTGTTTATACATATATATATATATATTTAATGGAGGTGCTGTAGATTGAACCCAGGACCTTGTGCATGCTAAGCATAAACTCTACCACTGAGCTATACCCTCCCCCTGAAACAGGCTCTCTGGAACCCTCACACCAGTTCCCACCTCCTGCCTTACGCACGCTGGTCCCTCTGCCTGGACCTGTACATGGCTGCACATTGTTCTCCCCACCTGTCTCCCCGCCTTCCTCAGCATCTGTTTTCTCTCCTAGGTTGTCGGGGTCACTGAGGAGAGTGACTGCACCTGCAAGCCGAGCGCCCACCACACTCAGCCCTTCTGTGCCCAGAATTAGCAGCACAGCCTCCTCTTGGCGGGATTCAGAGAGAGCGTCCACCTCCTAGAGCATGGCAGGTCAGCTACGGGGGGGTTAAACTTTTTAAAACTAAAATGTTATTTAGAAGTTGAATACAATGTTATAGAAGCTCCGGACAACACTGAAGTGTAAAACTTGTTTATAATGTTGACTGCTCTCTGGAAGTATCTGGTTTTGTATTTTCTTACTTGTTTTATTGTCTGTTTCAACCCCACTGAAATACAGGTTTCTTGAAAGTAAGGGCGGTGCTTGTCCTGTCTCGGCCCTGGAGGCAGCACTGCCCCAGGAGAGAACCATTGGTGTGGGTATTTCTTTTTTTTCCCTTTGGTTTTGTTTGTTATTTTGTTGGGGTTTTTTTTTTTTAGATATTTCATTTGAATCCATTTTCTATTAAGCCCCCACATAGAGTTACTTTATAACAGAGTCTGAGAAGCTCAAATAAAAGTGTTAATTATTAACATAACGCACAGAATTCAACCTTTACACTCAGCTGAATGCCCCAGGACTGTCTGCTTCAAACTAACATTTATGTTTGTTCCTTAAGGGCTTAAATGGAATAATTGAAATCAAGAGTTTAAACATTTTGGTCTTAGATGTTCCCGGGGAAAATTTAAACAAACCCCCACAGCTGCCTCCGAGAAGAAATCGGTGGAACCTTTCGGACGAGGGAAATGCTGCTTCAGAGGCTGTTAACGACGCAGGCAGGACCTGTCAGAATCGGCTGTTCTTACAGCCTCTTGTCAGCCTTGCTCCCGAGAGCCAGACTCCACACAGGCCCTGCCTCCCCCAGGGACGAGGGATCCGATTTTTCATATCTTGTTTAAGTGTCAAATTTTGACGAAGGGGAAGGAAGCAGAGCTGTGTGTCTGGGACTGATGCCTGCTGGCGAAGGGTTCACACGGAAGGTCCGTTATGGTCGTGTCCTCTTACGATGTTGGGCAGCAGGGCTAAATTTCTCAGAGGATGACCCGAACAGAGGGGGCTGTTACAGAACTCAGTTGTGTTACTTTCGGGGCATCGTAATTTGACCTGCTGTGTAGCTGTGTATCAGTGAACTCAGGTGGTGATGAACTACAGTACAGCTAGATTGTTTTAAATGCTTGTGATTTTAAAACTGTCACCCATAAAATAAAAAAGGTTGGTATTTCTTTGCTTCAGCCATTGTGACGCACCTAGACACTGCCTTGTCCCCTTAGTGCTTGCTGAATTCTGACATAGGGGTCGTCCTTCAAGAGCAGTCGTTTCTTGTCCAGGTTTAGGTAAGAAAGTGCTCATAGTCTACGCGCACCAGGAGCCCAAGTCTTTCAACGGGTCCCTGAAGGACGTGGCGGTGGCGGAGCTGGGCCGGCAGGGCTGCAGCATCACCGTGTCTGATCTCTACGCCATGGACTTTGAGCCGAGGGCCACGAGGAATGATATCACTGGTGAGTCACGGGGTAAACCGGTTTTTGAAGCTTCCTCGTGTGTGCGTCTTTCTCCTGAGGAGTAACTGACATAACATTCTTGTTTCAGGTGCTTACCAGAAGGATTCGGTGCTCGTGTACGTTGCAAAATGGCCACCACAATAGTTACAGTTTTTTCCTCTTGTGTTAAGAACTTTCAAGATCTGCTCTTTCAGATGTGCAGTTGTCTTCACTGTGGTTGCCATGCTGTGCATGGCGTCCCCATGACTTACTCATCTAACAGCTGAAAGTTTGCCCATCTGACCCCTTCATCTGTATCACCCACCACCCCACCCCCCGCGCCAGGCAGCCACCAGTCTGTTTTCTGTATTCATGAGCTCGGTCATTTTTGGTTTTGGTTTGGGTTTTCAGATTCCACATAAAAGTGAGATCATGCAGTATTTGTCTGTCTCTCTCTGATGTATTTCACTTAGCATGAGGCCTGCAAGGTCCATCCTTGTTGTTGCAAATGGCAAGGTTTCCTTCCTTTTGATGGCTGAATGGTACTCCGCTATGTGTACAGATCACAGCTCCTTTGTCCAGTCGTCCATCGATGGGCATTTAGGTTGTTTCTGTGTCTTGGCTGTTGTAAATAATTCTGCAGTAGACAATGAGGTACAGATTTTTTTTTTGAGAGAGAGTGCTTTCAATTTCTTCAGATAAATACCCAGAAGTGGAATTACTAGGTTATGTGATAGTTCTATTATAATTTTTTGAGGAACCTCCACACTGTTCTCTATAGTGGCTGCACCAGTTTACATTCCCACCAGCAGTGCCCAAGGGTTCCCTTTTCTCCACATCCCCCCAGAACTCAACTCTTGTCTTTTGGACGAGAGCCATTCTGACAGGCGAGAAGTGGTCTCTCACTGTCGCTTTGGCTTGAATTTCCCTGATGACTAGTGATGCTGAGCATCTTTTCATGGGCCTGTTGGCATCTGTATGTTCTCTTTGGAAAGATGTCTGTTCAGATCCTTTGCCCATTCTTAAATCAGATTGGTTGTTTGGGTTGGGGTTTTTTTTGCCTTATTTATATGTTTTTAATTAAAAAGTGTTTGAAAACAAAGCTAATCATTGCACATGCTGTACAGCTGTCAAGTCGAGAAAGTCTACAGTGCAAGTCTTCTTCCCCATCCCCCAGCCACCTGGTCTCTCTGCCCCCAAGTGTCACCTGCTGTCTCTCGATCTTTCTGGAGATTGTCTGTGTCTGGACACACCCTAAGGCGACTCAGGGTACACCCTCCAGTTCCCTGCGCTCTTTTCAAAAAGGGGAGCATGCACCGTACTTTGCTTTGCGCGTTGCTTGCTTTTTTGCTGCTGCAGAGTCCCCCGTGGTGTGGAGGTGCCACTAAAGGGCATTTGGGTTGTTTCTCCCTTCCGCTGTTACAAACAGAGCGCAGCGGGCAGCGCGGCCAGCTGGGCCGTCCTACCTGTGCACCTGTATCCAGGAGACGAGCTCCGGTCGGTCGGAGGGACTGTGAGTTTTACGTTCTCGCAGATGATGTCAGATTGCTTCCCGTTAGTGCTGCGGCTCATCTCCCACCAGCAGTGCCGCAAGTGCTGGTTCCCTCCCTCTTACCAATTTTTTGATAATTGCCAATCTGATAGGTGGAAAAATGGTCTCTCTGCACAGTTCTCCTTTGCCTTTCTCACAGTGTAAGTGAGCTTTACCATTTTTGTATATATTTAAGAAGCATTTTTTCCAGCTTGATTGAGATATAATTGACAAAGGATTCAAGGTGTACAATATGATGTCTTGAAGATTTTTTTAATATTCTTTTAAAAAAGCTAAATACTTGTAGCTTTTCATTTGTTAATATTTTATATTTATAAATATTTACATTGATATTTTAATAAAAATTTAAATATTTTCTTTCCTGTGAATTATCTGTTCATATTTCTTACTTATTCTTCTGTTAGTCTTTTTTTAATTGATTTTGAAGAGCTCTTTATATATTAAAAAATTAGCCTAGAGTGTGGGATATGAAGTGTAAATACATTTTTACCTAATTTTTTTTAGTTTTGACTTTGCTTGTGGTGGGTTTTTTTTCACACAAGAGTTCATTTACTTTTGCTTAGTTGGCTTCTGATTAGCGGTCATTTTTTAATATGCAATTTATTTTTTTCTTAAAATTTTTTTTATTTTTAAAATTGAACTATAGTTGATTTACAATGTCGTATTAGTTTCTGATATTCAACATAGTGATTCAGTTATACATAAATATATTGTTTTTCATATTCTTTTTCATTATAAGTTACTACAAGATACTAAATATAGTTCCCTGTGCTGTACAATAGGTCCTTGTTATTTATCTATTTTGTACATAGTAGTTTGTATCTGCAGATTCCTAACTCCCAATTTATCCCTCCCCACCTTTTCCCCTTTGGTAGTAATAAGTTTGTTTTCTATGCCTGTGTGTCTGCTTCTGTTTTATAAATAAGTTTGTTTGTATCATTTTTCAGACTCCACGTATAAGTGATACAGTATGGTATTTGTCTTTCTCTGACTAGAGGTCAAACTTTCTGACACCTGGATTTTGTGTCATATAAAGTATAAGCTTATTTTTTTTACATTGTTATAGTTTCTTGTGATATTTGACAGGTTCCGCTTTTTAAATTTAAATAGTTCATCTATTCGGGGTTTATTTTGGTGTATGATGTGGGTCCAGGTTTTTTCTGAGAACCTAGCTGTCTCACCACCGTTTATTTCGTGACCCAGCTGTTGCCCCAATTTAAAATGCCACCTTCGCTGTGATCTAATTCCCACGCAGGTTTGACTCTGTCTGCTCCCGGTGTGCTGGTTTGGTTTTCCCCTCCGTGACTCAGTACCACGTGGCTTTAATTATTTTGGCAAGTTTAACGTCTGATGGAGTTAAATCACCCTCTTTTCCCTTACTTTCTGTTTTTCCCCAACTACTTTTATTTTACTTTTCTACTTTGGGGGATGGGGAGGTAACTAGGTTTGTTTATTTATTTTTAATGGAGGTGCTGGGGATTGAACCCAGGACCTTGTGTGTGCTAATTAAGCATGCGCTCCACCCCTGAGCTGCACCCTCCCCCCATTTTACTTTTCCCTACAGTGTTTTGAATTAGTGTTCCAGATTCAAAACATAATGGGTGATGCCTCTGTTGAGGCCCCGTTGAGTTTACAGATGGACTCTATGGGGCCAAGTGTTTCTGTCCCGGAGACGGGGGTGGCCCTTCCTTTGCATTGTTCCTTACAACCTTCCAGGCCTGTTTATGAGTTTTGTTCAAGCAGATACTGCGTGATTCCCGTCACCTGGGTTCCGTTACCCTCCGCAGAGAGGTTCACTGTGTGCGTGTCCAGCTCTGTGAGTTTTCTCGCTGTAGTAGTTTTCAGCTGATTTTCTGGGGCTTTCTAATAGACAGTCCGATCATCTGCAAATAATCATTTCTCCTCCGCGTTTCCGGTATTTAATTCCTTTGCTTTCCTTCTGTCTGTGGTTGTGTTAAGGACCCGCGACTTAAAATTTAGTGCTGATGGGAGTAACTGGCATCGTTGTCTTTCCTCTCTTTTAAGAAACCAATCAACTGTTTCCTCTCAATGAGCCGCGGAGCACGGGCTGGGAAAACTGAGAGGATTATGCGAAGGGGCCCCTGGTTTTCCAGTGACTCAGGTGGTGACAAGGCTCGCTGTAAGAAGCAGTTTAAGTGCGGTGAACAGACGGGCAGAGGGGGGACCCTTGCAAGTCCTGCACGCGCCGCCCTGGCCGTGCACGGCCCCGGGGCGGCGGGCCCGGCGTTTCGCTGTGGCTCGTTGCAGATCTTGCTCCACCCATGAAGGGCCTGCTGGTGCCAGCTTTAGAAGTCTGCAAGTGCAGGTGTAGATGGGGACCTGCTTCATTCACTGGCGCTGCCAGAGTCTTGCAGACCGGCACCTCGCCGCATGCGTGCTGTAGCTCACCACTTCTCCTGCTGACTTGCGTCTTCGCTGTCGGCTTCTACTTCAAGCCGTCAGTCAGCGTGTGTCCGCGGCTCTTGGATGTCCTCTTTCACCTAGAGAGGCCTCCCCACACCACACTTACAAAAACAGTCCCATGTCCCGTGATACCTGGATATCTCGGCTTTGGCGCTTTTTCATTTTACCTGGAACATATAAGATGGCCCGTGCGCATTTTCTCATCTGTTTCCCATGATCAGAAGCACCCAGTGTCCACGGTGGGCACCACACCTTGGACCCGGTCCCTCCTACTCAGGGACCTGCTCAGGGTCCCCGCAGAGCTTTGTGCACAGAAAGCGTGCAGCAGGGGCTGAGAGGAGGCAGTGCCCTGGGATGTTCTCAGCCCTTGGTGGCCCCTTTGCAGGCCCCGCGTGGTGGCAGGGTCACACTGGGCCGTCTCCCCTCTGGTAGGTGGGGAGCTACCCTGCTCACAGGTATTATGAAGATGGAAAGGTGACGTGTGCAGCACAGCCCGCGGTGGGCGGCGAGTCCCGGTGATCTGATCGGTGCCTTTGGGTGACGCGCTCTGGTTGTCGAGAACCCACTAAAGGCAAAGATCAAAGTGTAAACTTGTCTTTCAGTTTAGTGCTGTGGGCGTCCGGCAGGCCTCAGCCCACACCTCCTCCCACCCGTGCTGCCGCCTGATCTCCCCGCCCCAACCAGACCTGCTCCTCAGTCCCTGCGGCCACAGTGACTCCAACCCATTCGGAGCGTTTCTGTCTATGGGGAGTGGCCCCCTGTGCGCAGGAAGCTTTAAGTCCCTTATCAGGGCTCACGAGACCTGGCCCACCTCTGCTGACACGTCCCCTGCGGCCCTCCCAGCCTCTCACCCCACGTCCTCCCCATGTGCTCCCCGTGGCCCTTTCCTGGCCGGCCAGCTTGTCCTTGCCCAGAACGTCCTCCACTTCCCTCCAGTTCTCTGGGCTGCCTAGAGAACTCCTGCTCCGTCGTCAGAACCCCGTCCACAGAGCTCACGCCCAGGGTCACTGGGCCGGTCACCGCCCTTTGGGCCACTGCGTGGTTACACACCCCAGTGTGAGGCCACCCGCGTCCTGGTGTGGGATTTGAGGCTTATCCAGCCCTGATGTTACACGGCGTGAGCAGACTCATCGTGTTTTGTGTGTTGTTTGACTACTTATCTACGTCTCCTACTGGACTTGGAGTCCCTTGAAGGTCAGGACAGTGGCTGCTTCTCTTTGTGTCCACAGTCTGACCACAGGGCCTGGCACCTGGCGGGATCTCAGTGACTGTCTGGTGCCTTTAGGGGGTGGGGTGGGGGACGTCCAGGTGACAGTGCCGCATGGGCTGCATATGCCACCTGAGGAGAACCTTTGTCATGTCCCCCAGGCACCCTCTCTAACCCCGAGACCTTCAGTTACGGGGTGGAAGTGTATGAAGCCTACAAGAAGGCGGCTCTGAGCAGTGACATCGTCCAGGAGCAGAAAAAGGTTCAGGAGGCCGACCTGGTGATATTTCAGGTTTGTCTTTCCTCTGATCTTCCTGCCAAACTCCCGTCGTTCCGTGTGCAGGCCCTTCCCGGTGCTGAGTTCCCAGCACACCTGCACACTCACTTCTGTCTACTTGGGTCGGGAGGCCCAGGGGCCGACACCGTCTGGAAGACCCTGACCCCCGGGAAGCGGGGTCTCCCTGTAGCCCGTGGTCCTGACACATCTGATCACACGGACGGCGCATCCTCCGCTCCCCCGCCATCCCCTGCCCTGGACGTACTGGGGCTGCGTGAGAACCAGATTTGTCCACACGAGTGTTCTCGGGGTAACTTGGGCCAAGTGTGACTCCTGCCTTAGGCGTCCTGGTCGTCAAGATGAGAGTCTTCCTTTGTTGTCCCCTCACTGATGGCCTCACCCACCCACCCTCCCGCATTCGCCCACCAGTCATTCCAGGTGGGGAGCTATTTGCAAATCAGGAGAAGGAGGCATAGAGAGGTTAAGTAACTTGCCAGCATCCCACAGTGGTAGGTTGTGGAGCTTGGATTTTGGTGGCAAGTCTGAGTTGGATTTATAGTGAAGGCACACGAAATGTGGGCTTCTTTCCACCTTTGGTAACATTATTTCCTGGGCTCATATCTTTTCACTGATGGCATTGTTGGGTGCGGGGTTAGGGCTTCCGTGGGGACCAGGGCGGACACCAGGGCATCCTCCTGCTGGTGTGTGGGATCTGAGGATCCCGCTTTAGTTTGTGTTGAACCTGAACTTTCTCAGAACCTACACCCTCACCCCCCCCAGTGTGGAGGGGGCAGACTCTTCCCCACACCCGCCCTCTATCCCCCTGGACTGGGTGGGTCACAGGACTGCTCCCCAGAGCTGGGGGCCAGCAGAGCTTCCAGTGGGCATCTCCCAGCCCTCTGGGTTGGGGCCAGGCACCAGGGGGCACAGAGCCACCTGTGACAGCAGCCAGGACGTGGTCAGCCGTGCCTGCCCGGCCCCCGGGGTGGGGGTCGGATGGGGGGGGGG